TCTCTCTCTCTCTCTCTCTCTCTCACACACACACACACACACACACACACACACACACACACACACACACGAGTTGCATTTCATTTTAAATTACCCTCAAGTAAAATGAAAATTCCAGGATAGCCAGGTGGTGGTGGCGCATGCCTTAATCCTAGCACTCGGTAGACACAGGCGGATCTCTGTGAGTTTGAGGCCAGCCTGAGTCTACAAGAGCTAGTTCCAGGATAGGCTCCAAAGCTACAGAGAAACCCGATCTTAATGATAATAATAATAATAATAATAATATAAATTCCAGGATAGTTTTATTCTATGGCTTTTTTTTTTTAACCAACTTGCTAGATGTGTGAACCCCAGTTTGAGAAATACCAGGGGTAAACGGTTAAAAAGATTTCAAGCAAGGGAATAATAGGATCAGATCTGTAATCTAGAAAGACCTGGCAGCTTCTGGGAAGAGAAGCTGTAGTTTCCAGATGTAGGGAGACTGTCTGAATAATATTCTCACTGGGAGTGTCTCAGAGGCTCAGCTGAATGCAAATGGGTTAGGTGTTGTGGAGACAAACTGACAGAGCTTGGTATTGGACATAGGGGAGGTAGCTGGGAACACGTGGGAGAGATAGTTTAGGGTGCTCTCTTGTCCCTAGCTTAGATAATACCCAAGGAAACTAGAAGAAAAACAAGCGTGGAGAAAGAAGGATGACTGGATTCGGACACCTGGAACCTGTGGTAACTGTGGGTCAAACGGACCAGGGATATCAAAATAACAACCTTCAATTCAGCAGAGATCTGAGCTGAAAAGGATACTTAGTTTGAGTTGTGCACAAAAGGATGGTGGTCATATGGAAGGTAGGGAGCTTAAGAAGGGGTTATGGGCAAGTTGAGAAGAGCAGCAATCAAGAAGGCGTAAGTTCAGAAGTCCCGAAGCTGCCGAGGAGGGCTACCCAGTGAGGCGGGAGAACAAGAGGCTGAGATCGAAGCCAGTGCAGGGAAAGAGACTTAAAGGAAATAGTCAGCATTGCCGAGTGCTTCGGAGAGGTTAAGTGACAAAAGAACAGAGTCAGAGAAAGATTTCTACTATGGAATACTCTTAAAACATCATTAACCAGGCCGTGAAAACAGGTGGACTCCAGAGAAACTAGCCTAAAGAATAAAAGATGATCTCCACGTAGACTGGGAGAAAACACAGCAATCCAAAGGACCACACACTAGGGAGGTGGGCTGAGAGCAGGGAGGCAGTGGAGAGGCAGGACGGAGAAAGGCAAGCCACTCAGGGCACTGTATTTGGTTCAGGGGGCGAAGGTTCAGGGGGCAGAGGTAGCTGGGAACGTGTAAGAAAAATAGTTCACGGTGCTCCCATGTTCCTGGCTTATGTTACTTCCAGGAAAACTGGGAAACAGGCATGAGGGGAGGGATGGCTGAGTTTAGACATACAGAACCTGTGTTAACTATCGGCCAAGTAGGTAGGGTTATCAAAGTTACACCAAATATAATCTGGACTGAAAAAAAAAAAATCCTTCCATATATTTATCTTGTCCAGAGGAGCCAGACCTTTGAGAGTGGGAAGTTAACTTCGAATCCACAGCCACTTCACCACCTCTCTTTTGTTTGTTTGTTTTGAAACAGGGTCTCATGATATAGCTCTGGCTATTCTAGAACTCATTAAGTAGACCAGGCTAGACTCAAAGTCAGTGATCTGCCTGCCTCTGCCTCCCAAGTGCTGAGATTCAAGGCATGTGCCACCACACCCGGCTACCTCACCACCTCTTTGGGTCGTCTTCACGAGAAAGGCAGGAAAGCTAGACAAGAGTGCCAGGGACGAGGGCTAGAGCAGCAGGTCTTAACCTGTGCGTCAAGACCCCTTTGGGGGTCGAACAATCCCACTGGAAAACAGATGTTTACATGATTCTTAACAGCAGCAAAATTACAGTTACAAAGTAGCAACGAAAATAATTTTAAGATTGGAAGGTCATCATAACATGAGGGACTGTATTAAAGGGCCGCAGCGTTAGGAAGGTTGAGAACCACTGCTCTAGAAGAAGGCTCATGACAGAGAATGTTAGAAGGAGCTGTTAGGGGTTTGAGGAATTTAGGAAATCTGCCCTATTTATGTGATACAGCTATGCAGTAAGAAAAATAAAACAAAAAAGAAAGCACACACAAGTGGCCTTTGGAGTGAACATCAACTGCCTGGCTAGAAAGATCACTGGGGTCTTTCGGGTGAGGTAAGGGAGGCACAAGGAACACAACAGCTTTGGTCTCTGCCATGCTTGGGAAGTGTTCAAGTAGTAGCTCACATTCTGAGGGCATGTGGCTCTTAACAAAAGACCACATTAGAGGGACCAAGGCTCTGCCTCGTTGACACATGAGAGTCAGGCACAGGACAGACAGAGCCTGCTAAAGAAAGAAGTTTGTCCTGTGGACTAGAGTACATGTTGATGTCCAAGTGACACGATGGAGCACCATGGCCTGCCAGAAAAGTCACTTCCTGTCCCTATCATTTTCCAAGTGCTAGCCCCTGCACATTCCTGACTTTGAGGAAGCAATCACTTCAAACCTCTACAAGTTGGTGCTTAACACTCAGGGCAGACCAGAAAAAGGAGCACAACTCCTGGTCATACTACTGGTCAGTGACAAGCCACAAGAGGCTCTGCTGCCACTCCAATCTGGAACACACAGGGAAAAATGTCCAACTCTTAGTTCCACTGGACATTGATCAGGAGCTGAGCAGGGTGGGCGTTTGGAAGGCTTCAGCCTCCGTCCTGCCTAGTGCTGGGATCAGCGCACACGGCTCCTGTGTCCACCAGACACAGAGAATACATTGTCCATAAGGAGGATTATTCTGTACAAGAAACTCAGACAAAGGGAGAGGTTGTTTCCAGCTGCTTGGGGGAGGTGTGGAGGGGGTGGAAAAGGGCTCGGCCTCACATTGGGGGCATTCCTGCCGAGTTTAGCTTTTTCCTTTCAGCAGACTGAGGTGGTTCATCCTCGCTAGCCTGTACCTAGTGCTGGCAATCTGCAAAGCTACATGGAACATTTGGCTACAACCTACCTATCTTAGCTATTGTCCCCAAAAAGCAGTTGAGTGTGGTGAGCCAGCTAAGTAGGACAGCAATTCTACAATGGAAGAAGAGAAAGAATAGGTGGCCAGGACAATCAGCAATGGCTGAATCCCAGCCTCAGGGCAGACTAGAGAGAAAGGTCTTAGGTAACCTTGTAGGGCTTGACGTGGATTCCAAAGTGGGATGAACTGCTGTGGGAAGACATCAAGTTTCACACCTGCTGCTGCTTTCTCCATCCCAGAGCAACCCTGGGAGACAATGGAGCAGACCTCTAGCTAAGGGCCCCAAGTGCAGCAGAGGATGGTTAGAAACAGGAATGCTAGAGCAGTGCAAGTCATCTACAACCCAGATCTGAGCAAGTAAACAATGTTCTTTTCCATAGGCAATTCCATATACATTCCTCCTGAGAGAGCAAATAGTAGGGGTTCCAGACATTCTTTCCATTGTGGGGTGAACTGGTATATGAGCCCCAAAGTGGGAGAGCAGCAGATTTGTATGCTGAGATCTCTGGGGCTCTGAAGGGAGGAGGCGGTGGAAATGACAGTGTGTGCTACCAGAGCAACTAAGAGAGGTGTGGGTGCCTCCACCACCAAAGTGTTTGCTTAAGGGCATGAGATGTAGGTGAGGCCCTGGATGCTCCTCTTGCAGCAGGAAGATATTCCTGTTCTTGGAGAACAAGGAAGCCATTTCAATAGTATGGGGGGAATGAAGTCAGTTTAGCTGGAACAACAAAGACTCTCAGGGTTGGTTACAGGCGGAGCAAAGAACAGCAGTCACTGGAAGATACTCTGAGAGTCTGGAAAAGACCAGCTAGAGTTCTATTCAATACCCCAGTTAGCTTTGACATTTAGTGGGAAGAGAAAAGATGAGAAGATAAACAACACCTGGATGGGCTAATGGCCCGGCCAATTTAAGTGGGAGAAAGGTTTGGCATTGCCTCAGAGCAGATGACAGGACTCCCCTGGTACAGTGTTCTGTGGTCACTTAGCTTTGTCAACACCACTCATGTTTCCACAGCCCAGCAACAGAGGACCACTTTTCCAGGCCTTTGCTGCCACAGCCTGGTAGAAGGCTGTTTAACAAAGACCAAAGACCAAAGCATTAGTGTGTGGCAGGAGAGAACACCAACAGTGCAGCTGGAAGAACCTCTTTGGATCTTTAAATAAAAGAAAAATTAAAGATAAGGGAATACTTTAAGGTGAATTAGAATTACCTGGTAGATTGTTCATAAATTTGAATCAGACAACCCTGAGTCAGTGAACATCAATTTAAATAACTTTATTGAACAAAGAAACCCTTTGGCCCACTTCTGCTGACTCAATCCCTGCCTTTGTCCATGAAAGAATGCTGAGAAAGGCAACATGGCTGCCTGTCCTTTTGGACAGTTCTTCACCTCTCCAAAAGCAGACAAGGTGGATGGGGCTGTGCCCTTCCCACTTTCAATCTGGATTTTATCTGAGCCACACACTGAGTGCCATGGAAGAGGACAGAAACAGGGAGTACTGACTGTGAGGACAAGGCAACCCTGACAAACGACAGTGTGAAGTACAATTTGTCTCAAAGGAGGAAGATGGTATTTCATCTGTGCTATTGCCTGACAGGGCCCCTTCCTAAGAAATCTCCCACCTACTGCTCCCTAGACATCTTCATAGGCAGGGTAGGGTAAAAGATGGGTACTTTTCCCTATTTTCCAGGTAAAAGCAGAACTAGTTTCACCAGACCTGGTGGACGGTGTCCCAGCCCAGAAACCTCTTCACCCGCAGCCTGGATGGAGCCAACAGGATGGAACCTGGGCAGGAGAGCCTACAGCAAAAATATACCTTCAAGACATGCAGGCTGCCATGGTCTTTGGATTACTTGATCCTGTCTCCATTAGCGCACCACTGTCATGGAGCTGTATCAACCACAGCGCATTCTGGGTAAAGGACAGTAAGTAGCAGGGTGGAAAAGTAAAAAATAACTATCATTTATTCAAGACCCAGTATTTCATATACCATGCTAAGTGTTTTACATTCATTTTCTCATTTTAATCCTCACAACAACCCTATGAGGTAGGTATTATGACCATTTACAAATGAGAACCTGGGCTCAGAGAAATGAGGTCACTTTCCCAAGGTCGCACAGCTCTTCACAGAGGAGCTGAGATCTGTCTGTTGCTGAAAGCCTGTGTTCTTTTCATTGTACCCATCTACGTCAGCCTTGAGTAAAAGATAATTTCATTGCCCAGCTTGGCACGGATCACCTGAGAGTGGAGGCTGCTGTCCACACTCACCGCTGGTAGGGATGCATTGAAGCCGACTTGATGTTGGTTTTTATCCCACTTGGCATTTTCCCTAAAAGTAACACAAAGAAAGGTAAACTTTCACAATAAATCAATCAGAAATGCAGCTTCTCAGAATCCTGTTATCTATTCTGTGACTTCTGACTCTGGATGGCAGAGATTACAGGTTGTGGCTCTTCAGCCAGTTCCCTCACTGAAGGTATCAGGATCTGAAAGGAGAGGAGGAGCTGAACAATCACACACACACACACACACACACACACACACACACACACACACACACACACACCCCTGTGGACTTCTGCTCATCCACCATCTATGTCTGGAAAAGACAGGCATGTGGCCTATGTGGTCCCTGTTTAATGTTACAAGCAGAGCACTGTGTTGTTATTTTAGTTGTCCTTTTCCCTAGGCAGCTGTTCCGTGAACCCCTCCAGACTGCTCTCACACTAAGTAAAAATGAGCACGAGAGACAGCAGGAAACCAAGACCAAGGGACAGGGGCAAGGAAAGAATCCAGCAGACCCAGAAAACTGCCAGCTTGTTGATGATTTTTTTTTTCAAGACAGGGTTTCTCTGTAGCTTTGGAGCCTGTCCTAGAACTAGCTCTTGTAGACCAGGCTGTCCTCAAACTCACAAAGATCCTCCTGCCTCTGCCTCCTGAGTGCTGGGATTAACGGCATGCGCCACCACCACCACCCGGCATTGATTCTTGATTATCTACCAAATGGTCTTGATCAACGTCTGGTCACTTATTTCTCTACCTAAGAGATACACACTAACATCCAGAATAAATAGGACAATTGAGACAAAAGTCTGAAATGGAAGTAAAAAGCAACACCAGTTTTTGCTATTCAAGTCCTTCTCTTCACTCTCTGGTACTCGTTGCAAAGCTTCCAAGTGTCTTCTAAGTAGCAATGAAAAGGAGGAAAATCTCCAGGTCCGGGGTTAAAGAAGGCTTACTCTAGTTCATTCCCACACTCCTGGGTAGTTAGCCCATGTCACCCTACCTGGTTGACCTGCTTGAGCCATCTGGACTCCACTGAGCATTGTCTGCTGCTGGTTTGGAGCACCTGCCATTTGAACTTGCTGTAATCCTGAGGCTCCTGCAAGGATTGGACCAGCTCCTGGCTGGCCGGGTTGGCCAGGACCACTGCTACCTGAAGGTCTCCAATTAGATAGCCCCTTCCCAAAGGCAACAGCTGCCACTAAGGCATTGGTGTCTGCAGGGTTGAAAGTCTGCTTGTTTGGCCGGAGACCTGAAGAAAAAGCCAAGAACCCTAAAGTGTATGTGTGTTCAACTCTGGACTAAACCCAGCAGCTGGAGGGCCGTGATGACCACCAGTTCTGACTACAGAGACAACTAGAATTCCTCCAACCCCAAAGAGTTATCTTTGTCCCCCAAACCTATCTTTAATTTTCACTTTGTCCATTTCTCCCATTTGCTTTAAGGCTAGTCTCAGACACAAAACACTAACAAGATACAGACACTTTCCTTGCCAGTTTATTCTTCTTTTTTAAAATCACATTTATTTATTTTGTGTGTGGTGGTCAGAGGACAACTTGTTGGTTCTTCCCTCCACCATATTGGTCCCAGGGATCAAATTTAGGTCAGGCCTGGCAACAGGTACCTTTGCCTACTGAGCCATCTTGCCAGGCCAAGCAGTTTATTCTTCTATCCTTACTTCACCACTAGGCTGATTACTATTACTATTCTAGTGATCTTATACAGCTCCCCCTCTGCTCTGCCAACCATCCCTCCTTACCTCCACTCTCTGATTCTCGTTCTTCTTTGCTGATTTTCTCTAAAAGGTTTGAGCACATTTTATTCAAGCTCTGGATCTGCTTCTGTAACACATATGAATTGATATAGAGATTAGTAATGATTCTGGAGAAGCATCTTCCTTGTGCTCTTCCAGAGGCAGCCTAGCTGTAACCAACCACATACCCCTAATACACAGGCCTGGTAAATAAAGCCTTGTTTCTTGTGAAGGGATGGGGATGGGGCAGCAGGGCAGTGACTCAGTCTAACCTGCGCTGCATCAGCACCAATTCTGGCAGCATCTGTTGTCAGCTGCTTCTCCTGCTCTTCAACTTCAGGGTCAGGCTTGGTTCTCAAATGGTCAGGGACGACCTCATGGCTGAAAACAGGCACTCGTCCTTCAGTCTGACGCTGTAACACCACAGATTGTATTAATCCTATTTGCTATCCAAGTAAAGTTGACTCTAACCCAGTTTCCCTTCCACAAGAAACGGCATTTTCAGAGACAACACAACCTGAGGTATAAATGTAGCTTCCTATGGCACTGTCTTTTCACACACACTCTATCAGAACTCAGGCAAACTAAATTCCACACCGTAACTTTCTTCTTGTTTTTTTTTTTTTTTTTTTTTTTTTTTTTTTTTTTGATTCCCCACCCTGACCCCCATTCTGGGACCAAAACCAGGACTTTGTTCTACCACTGAGCTAAATTCCCAACCCCACATTTTAAAAGACTGATTGGACAAAATCATAGGCAGGCAGAACAGCCCCCCCCTTTTTTTTTCTTTTTTCTTTTGCCTGATATAGATGTTGGAAAAAAGGGTCATGGACTTGGTGACATGGACCTTGGTTTTCACAGCATTGTTTAAGAGTGACTCCCACCTCCAGAAGAATAAAAAAGCAAGTCTTCCAGATGGCAGCCCTTACTTTCCATTGCTATACAGAGGATCCAATCAACAACTGTGCTCTAGACTTTCATTTAACTTGATTTCCCAAGTTTAATCCTTCTTCTTACCATGAGGTCTTCATCTCGATCTGGGGACAGCACCAGAGGGATGATGACCTGGTTACGAAACAGGGGTGTCTTCTCATGCTTTAAGACCTTGTTCAAAGTGTTCAGCTGTCCAGAGAGCAGTGCAAAGCTATCCAGGACAGAGGGCCTGGGGGTGGTAAGAAGTCATCAGAACTACTTTTCCCTATAAAGTAATCTCTAAAAGTTCCCAATGCGGGAACACCCAGACTCACCCCTAGAAGACTCACAGCCCTAGGACTGGCCTAGGCAAGAACCAGACTTGCTAGCAGAAAGGATGGAGTTAGGAAAGAGGAACACACTTTCAATTTCTGACACAGATGTTGAAAAAGGTAACTTGTCTGAATGAGACTGGGAGTGGTGGTAAACAGAAACTGGTTACACTGTGCTAACTGAATACTCCTAAGGTCTATAAAAGCCTCCTTTGTAGCCTCCTAACAGAATCCACCACTGCAGGGTAGGTTAGATCGCAGATTCAGCCACATCTGTGGAAGGAGATACAGCATGAATATAGCTATAATGGTCTTCCACTGGGGGAATACCTCCTCACCAAAGAAGTCAAAGCATAAGCATTAAAACCTAGAAACAACCTGGGTTGAAAAACTGGGCACTTCTCTACTTCCTGGCTATGGAGGCCTTAAACCAAACCATACTTGTCAATGTTGGGCAACCTAGTTCTTTCCAAATCAAAAAGGATATTTGCAAACTGATAAAATAGTTACATCACTGGAGATGTCCTGTCAGCCAGGGGGCTTGGCCCCACCACCCATGGCTCCCTCCCCAGCTTGTCCTGGCAGTCCTTACCAGGTGAGCCGGTCATACTCGTTTTCCAACTTGTAAATGAAACTCCCCAGTGAATTCTTCAGATCAGCCACTTGATTCAGCAGTGCATCTAATGATGCCTCAAGCTGCTTCTCCTCCCTCTGCATCAGTAGGACATTGGGTTACTCAGATACCAGGGAGTGTGACACACAGAAAGGCTAAATTGTTTTCTATCTTGGTATTTGGGTTACTGACAGCATCAACCCTCAGACCTTTCAACCTGTTCACCTGGCCTGAGGTCCTCCTGCCAACTTGGTCCCTTCTATCCTCCTACACTATGGTCCTTCAATAAGAACATTGCACCAGGCCTAAATCCCTTCCGCTTATGACCTCATGGTTTTTTTTTTTTTTTTTTTTTTTTGCCTTCAAAACAAAATTGGCTTAGCACTGTATCCTTTACCCTTTATCTTTTCATTTCCATTCTCTTCTCCCAGCTCAGAAGGTTTGTTGCTCTTAAAAGCCAACCTTCTCTTGGATCTGCAGTAGGACATGCTCAAGCCCAATCTTCTTTCTAAGCCTAGCCCTTTTCTGGAAAATAGACAGAGTCTGCCTACCACACTCCTGCTTGCTGTCATTAACGCTGCTTTCCTTGGGCATATGGAGAATCCTTGTATTGTGTCACTTTGTGGGGTTGGTATTGCCCCATTTCTTTTTTTTCTTTTTCTTTTTTTGGTTTTTTGAGACAGGGTTTTTCTGTAGCTTTAGAGCCTGTCCTGGAACTAGCTCTTGTAGACCAGGCTGGCCTTGAACTCACAGAGATCCGCCTGCCTCTGCCTCCCAAGTGCTGGGATTAAAGGCGTGCACCACCACCACCCGGCTTGCCACATTTCTTCCAGAAGTTCAGTGCATTTTAGAAAGGTCAGGCAATGATAGCAGGGGTGCTATCGGTACTTTAAGGTCAGAAGGAATTCCTGAAGTTCATTGTCCCATGGGGGCCTCTGGAGTCCAGGTACATACAACATTATTCTCTGCCTTGTGAAGGCAGCTACTGTCAATGCCACAGTCTGGAGAATCTCACATTTTGCCTAGATGTGTGAGGCTTTCTCTGAATACCAGCTCTGCATTCCCCTCTGCAACGGGTCGTCTATCCTTAGCATTTGCTGAGTCAATGTGTGCTCATGGATGGCTGTGCCAGTATTCCAGTGCCTCTTTCGTAAACTCGGGTGACCCATAAACCCGCACTGTAGGACTACCAGGTGCAACGAACTAAATGAGTAATCAAAGACAAAGGCGAGGTAACCAACACATTGTTTCTGAACGTTAGACAATTTTAAATGCTGAGTCGGCGGAGGGTTTCCGTTTGACCATCTGTGGTCTATTTACCCCGTTTCTCCACCCTTAGCAACTGGGTACAAGCTGGGAAGAATGATACAAAGCTGATTTGCAAACCCCACAATGTGACTGATGGGGTTAGATCCACCCACAGCCTCGGATTACAAACAGCTTAATTTTCGTCCTTGGCGGCCCACAATCTCTTCAGCCCTTCTGAAGCCTTGTTACGCCAGGGTCGAGGCCTGGGGCCAGTCCACTACTTTCTCGACCCTTTCACACAGTCAATCAAGTCGGCCTTGACTCCCCCAGGTCTCTGACCCTCTCGCGTTAGCGGGCTCAATTCCCGCAGCTGTCCTCGTCCCTTCCTGCTTCGCCGTCTTTCCCCAAACAGCCGAGGCCTCTGCCCTCTCCTCACATCCCCAACTTCCCAGAGTCACCCTGTCCACCCTCCCGACCTGTGGCTAGAGGCTGGGAGGCCCAACCCGCTTCTCACCTGCATTGCCACGGCCGGGCTGGCGCAACCACTTCCTCTTCCGGTTTCTCGCACTGCCGGCTGTGCCCACCAATCAGAAAGCTCAGAACGCGGCCCGCCCAACAACTTCCGGTTCCTGCCCGGTTCCGAGCTAGCTGGGTCAGAGGTCAGGAGTGGAGCAGCCTCCCTGGCCCGGGCCGGCGCGGGAGGGCAGTGTGATGGCCTCGGAGCGCCCGGAGCCAGAGGTGAGGGGCAGGCGGGCGCGGGGCCGAGGCCCGAGGGCAGGCGTGTAGCAGCCTCCACCCTCCGGAGCCTCGAGGAGGCCGTAGCTGTTTTGTTTACTCTAATGTCATCGTGGTCCTGCGTCTCCCACCCACAGACCTAGAGATAATGGTGCTGACAAAACTCGTGTTTGGGTTAATAGTTGCGGTTTTCATTGGTCACACCGAAGCTGACCGACTTTACGGATTTTTGCATCTCATCTGTTGGAATGCAATCAGTAGCACGAGTTGATTCCTCTTTAGCGTCCATGCTTTTGCAAAAGCCCTGCCACCATCGTAGCAGTCTTAACTTCCCAGATCCTGTCTCCTTCTTTATAAAAATCTTTGTTCCGTGATGTGGCTTGGGGAGCACAAGTTAAGTCACATGAGGCACCCCTTAGATGCGAAGAACTCGTGTCAGGAATCTGGCATTTTTTATTCTCCTTTTTTTAAAAAAATATTTATTTATTTATTATGTATACAATATTCTTTCTGTGTGTATGCCTGCAGGCCAGAAGAGGGCACCAGACCTCGTTACAGATGGTTGTGAGCCACCATGTGGTTGCCGGGAATTGAACTCAGGACCTTTGGAAGAGCAGGCAATGCTCTTAACCACTGAGCCATCTCTCCAGCTCCCTTTTATTCTCTTATACAGAGCAGAAAACCGAAAATCAGAGCAGGCAAGGTGCCTTATCGTGCTAAGATACCTTAGGATTATTCATTCTAGCCCAATTAGAGGATCTGAGAAGGAAACGAAATCTTAGATTTGACTAGATTGTCCAGAACCACAGCAGAATATTTAGGAGAGAAGGGTGATGGATGTGTGTAATGATGCAAAGAGTAATGGCTGCTGTATAATCCCCACTACGTGTCAGCCACCATTCTGAGTACTTGACTGTTACCGGTTCTTTCTGCCCTATAAGGCAAGCACCCTTATCACCCCCCCTTCAGGAAACTGAGGTACAGCTATTAAAAAGGAACACAGTTGCACAGCTAGTATTAGGGCTAGAACTCCTAAATAGATGATCTAACTCTAGACCTACCAGCTGTCCTCTGATCTCCATGTGTGCACTATGACACGTGTGCTTTTCCGTGTGTACACAGAGCACGTATATCTGTATACATATGTAGGAGTACACACACGTGCATGGCTGCGTGAATGTGATGAAGAAGCTACGCATGTGAAAAAAAAAAAGAGCAGTCTAGAAGCAGAATGCCAAGAAGACAAAGCGATGTTTGGAGTTGTTAGGTTCCCAAGAGAGAGCAGTGCTGCTCTGGACCCAAAGTTGTGCTGCGTGTCAGGTGGATGCAGAGTGTAAGACTGATCCCCTCTTAAGCTTTGAGGAATAAGTGAACATTGGGTCGCAACGGGTGTGTCGGAGCAAATGAGGATGTTTCAGGTTTAATGGCACATTTGACCTTCTTCTGTAAGCAGTAAGGTGGAACTCAGGAAGTTTAAGTTCTCTTAAGTATCTAGTACAGGTACAATCCTTTTGAAATAGTCAGTCTTGTTATCCCTGTTCACAAACGAAGAGACTGACAGAGCCAGCATTTGTCCCAAGATGCTCTTAACACTTTGCTGCCTGCTTTTACTGTAGTGGTGGGTAAGGGGGCTGAGACTGGGCAGAGGGAAGTTCACGTGGAGATCGTGCTAGAAGTTCAGGTTTATAATGGTGAGAGGCATCATGATAGGAGGGAAGGATCTACATTACGTCGGAGGAAGATAGCACATGTTTTAGAAAGGGGTTAGAGGATAATTTGGCCCTTTATCTCAAAGATACAAGAGCAAAACCTGGGAAAAAGGAAGCACAGAGCCTGCAGCACTTTATTCAGGTTGGCGTAAATGGTATGTAGAGTTCACTGAATATTCTGAACAATGATAGCCTCCCTCTGCCATTGTACTTACCCCCTGTTTGCAGTATCCCTACAAAGATATCCTTATCTTATCTAGCTATTAAAGAGATTGAAGCCTGGAAAAAATTTCAGTAACCTGCAAGGTCACATGCGTAACGTATTATAGAACACATTAGAATCTGGGGCTCTGACGCCAAACGCCTGCTTTGTCTTGTTTATCAGGCTATTTCAAAAGTTATGCGCATCAGACTCCGGGAGGTTAGCATTGAGGTCTTGAAGCTCCGTATGAATGTGAATGCTACGAAACATAACTAATTAAAGCACTTCTCAAACAGTGATATGGAAAAATGCCCAGGGGAGCAAGTTCAAATGTGGATTCTCCATCTCCTTCAGCTCTTAATCCAGTTGGTCTCTGGTGGTACCCAGGAATCAAGTGTGCATTTTAATAAATAGCTCAGGTGATTCTGATGCAGCTGGTGTTCGAAGCCCACTCTGAAAAACATTCCAGCTGCTTAAATTAAGCTAGCCTTCTGGTGCTGATAAAGTACATATTGGATGTATGATACCTTAGGAGGTTTTGGAAATGTTTGAATCAAAGAATCACAGATAAAGGGGAGGTTTTTCCCAGAAAGCTAGGCAGGCGTTCCTGGTTTCAAGATGGATTCTGTAAGAACTGACAGGTGAACCAGACTTCAGTTAAGCATTGGAGACATCAGTCATTCAGAACAGCATTGAGAGCAAGAGAAAGGTTACGAATTGTAAAGCTGAGTGCCCCAATGTGCCTTCAGTAATGCAGTGACTGGTCGCTGCCCTCCATCTGGAGCATCTCATGTAGTGAGCTCTGCTGGACCATCCCATCTTCCTAGGATCCTACACAGGAGCAGGCGGCTTTGTTTCTTGCTGTCATAAAACCACATTCTTTATCCATCAACAGGCTTATTCAGTTTTTAATGATATAATAGCTAAGGTAATTATTCAGTTTTTGTGAATGATAGGTAAGTCATTCTGCTGGGAGTACAGGTTTGGGGTGGTTGTGAAAAAAACGGGTGGAGGGCTTAGAAAGGCTGCTGACCAAGAAGTCAAGCTTCTTAAAATGTACCACTTTGGCAAAATGATCGGTTTCTTCCTGTGAGAGTACAGCTGCCACAGTGTATGTGTGGACGGAGGATGAGATGTCCAGACTCATCTTTGGCAGGGGTTTGTATAGTAGAAAAATAAGGATGTTGTTGGATTGGCCACCTCTGAAGGCTCAGGGGAGAGAAACAAGCATTGGCAGTTGGTCGGCGTGTGCGTGGAGAATGTGACCCACAGGACCTTGACACGAGTGAGCTATCACCTAGGAAGCTTCATTTGCTCAGGAATCTTAAACCATTCAATGAAGGCTTCTTCAGTGTCTGCTGTGGATAGGACTGAGGCGGTTACTGGCGAGTGTTCATGTAGCAGATCGGATACTTACTGGGTCTCATGTAAATATTTGCCAAGCCCAGGGGCGTACAAGCAGGACAAAGCACCTCTCCTACCTTTAGGAGCTTATGGTTTATAAGAGAAACTCATGCAAACATTTGTGAAAACACACCATAGAAGGTAAGTTCCCTTCATCGATGTGGTGGTCTGTGTTGGGAGCACTTTTCATGACGGCAGGGATAGCCGTCAGCTCTGTTGCCTCTCCTCTTGCTGTGTAGGCTCCTTGGACAAGCTGCTTGAATGGGATGTGTATATACTGGGCACTCAATGTCCTCTTTTTTTCTCCTTTATCTCTCTCATTAGGTAGAAGAAGCTGGGCAGGTGTTTCTGTTAATGAAAAAAGATTATCGAATCTCCCGAAATGTTCGCCTGGCTTGGTTCCTTAATCATCTGCATCAAACTGTTCAGGCCACACCCCAAGAGTTCCTGGTATGTCCTAATGACTGACAGGTGGGAGGTGAGGGCATAGCCCAGAAGGATCTCTCTCTTTCTTTCTTTCTTTCTTTCTTTTTTCTTTTTTTTTTTTCCTTGGAGCTCTAAGGCTGCGAGGGGCAGTGGCTTTTCCTGTGAAGTACTTCCTTACGGGAAATTTGCTCATACATTTTCTAGCTAGTGCTGCAAAGGGTGTGAAAAAGTGGAGCCAGTGGAGGGTCATTTTGGCTATAGGAGGCAGGTCTTG